TGGATAAATTGATCTATCAATATAGAGAATAGGCTATATGAGCATCTTTCAGCTTGTTTTTGGTCAATGTAAGTTTCAACTGTAACTTCATGAATGACAATATGAGAAAGCAATGCCAGAAAGCTTCAGAGTTTTTGCATTTGAGCTTGTTTGGCAGCACAAAACGCTTCCAACAAATTCGGGAAAGAGAAAAGAAGCAAAAAAAAATAATTTTTTTTGTAAGTGAAGAGAAGAAACATTGAATGTAACATAATGACACTCTGATGGTCCATATTGTTTGGCAGTTTTTACTGTTTACTGTTATGTACCTTCGTGTATATTATAATTAAGATGATAGAGAGTGGGAGCGCGAATAGAACGTGTTTGATATGGTAGGATTGGATAGGATGAATGGATGGATGTATGAACGGGAAAAAAAAACTGACGATGGCACATAGAAAAGTGGAAGAAGTGAAAGACGAAGAAGAAGCACCAGAAGATGACGCCGAAGGATAGGAGAGGGAGGAGAAGGGTGGATGTGGGGAGGAGGGGGGGGTATGGAGATGAGGAAAACATAAATGCCAATAGGGAACAACAAATGGTTTTGTTAAACATAAGAGCGGAAGAAGTTAGTGCACTTCCCTTTATGCTCACTCAGGCAGAAGCTTACAAAGGAAGACGAAAGAAAAAAAAGAGAAAAAAAAACAACAAAAACAACGACAGCAATTTCAATTACGGATATCGCTGTGTATGTCTATGTCTGGGTATGTGTGGGTCTGTGTGTGTGTGTGTTGATGGCATTTAAGCTGTTTCTTCGAAAATGAAAACAACAAATTCATTGAAACGGCTTGAAAACGAGGAGGAATACACACATGTAAGCTGCCTTCTTAGCAGCTTTCATCGTCATATTTTATCAAAATTCACACAACTTATTCTATACAATTTAATTGTATAATATGCATGTGAACATGCATGGTTGGAGACGATGTACTCTCCAACTGTATGCCCGTCGTCTCCTTCACACACATTTTGCAGCAAGCTGACTGTCATGACAAACTTTTGATTTTTCACATCAAAATCACTTTTTCCTTTTTCATCTCTTTCTTCTTCATCATCTTCTTTTTTTGCCATTTTTTTGTGTTCAACCCAATAGAGTACAGTATACTTTGTAAGTACGATCTGTTTGCTCTTGAATTAGGGATGTAGGGCTTCGTTTGAAATTTAAATATTTTGCCTCATCGACTTCTTCTTCTCCTTTTTTTTTCGCTCTCTGCCTATCAACAATTGTTGAAAACTGCAATTATTCCAAAAAGTTTTCAGCTTGTGTGTTCAGAACGTTGTTAGCAGGAATGAGATAACCACATGAAGACCCCATTCATCTGAGAACGGCGATGACGACGACGATGTTGACGAAGAGTGCCGATGCAGATATTCGAAAATCTGCATCGACGACTGTCGTCAGCGTTTGAAATACTAAGAATTGAGCAGTAAGAAGGACAAAGACAGAGTGGAAAGAATGGAGAAAGAGAGAAAGAGAGAGAGAAAGAGGGTGGAATGGAAGTATGAAAAACAATCAAGCACTCCTAACAACTACGTTGACTGTCTTCAAAAAAGGAAATGAAACTTAAGTCGTTTCTTTTTTTTTCCTTCTACGACTCTCAAGGTGCTGAATGCTTCGTTAGACCTATTCAGAATGCACCAATAACGGTGCGAGATAGATTGATATTAACAAATGGCATACATACACAACTACAACGACAAAACATCCGACGAGCAAAAGTATGAAAACAACGCGTGCTCTCTGATCATCCTGGACTTCAATTGCAAAAGTAGAAAATAGTTTGAAATTATAAAAAGGAAAAAAAAACCCATAAATAGTTAAATATTTCAAACGCTTTAAATTGCCTTTTACATCGATATACTTTCTTGGAATAGAAAACATACGTTGAAGTAGTGTGTGACTGACTGCATATTTCGTTTTTGTCATCAGCTTCATCACATGCTCATCACTTACTAACCGTATGGAAAGTGTCGTTCAAATAAAAAAAAGGAGGATAAGAAGGAGGTAGAGAGAGTGAGAGAGAGAGAAAGAGAATGTTGCTTGATGAGGATACGCCATTGACATTCTTTGTCTTCGTTTGTGCTTCAAAAAAATGGAGAGAAAAAAAATAATATAAACACGTCATGTCATTGAATAAAGGTCGTATTCATATTTTTCCATGAAAGTCCTTCCAATGAGCCATTGAGAGAAAGAGAAGGGAAGAGATTCAGAGAGAGAGAGAGAGAGATTAGAAAAGGAAGCTTGGTATTGAGGCCAATTAGTTTCATTTCCATTTGTTTGTTTTTAAGAAAGGAAGAGGGAAAATTGTGAACGCAAAAGCTTTGGCTTTCATTATTTACCTCTTAACATAGATAATAAATGAACTTCAATAGTCAATTTATAAGTAGTTTTGTAAATGTATTGATAACAGAGATCAATATGAGTACAAATTCCTAACTGGTAGTCTATCTGTGCATGTGAGTGAGAGTGAGAGTGAATGTCTTCATTCTCCTCTGTTACTTGACTAATTCAAAAACTCCCATTTTATAAACATTTTTTCTTTGTTCTGTTTGTCCAATTAAAAATTGTCATTAGAAATATTGAAATTCTGCTTGATCGTCTTACTCACAAGCTCCACAACACACAAGAGACCAAGACGGGACTACGGTAGTGGTCGTGTTATTCTCGCGATTAAATACACGTCGACGTCAAGTGAAAAACAGGATTGATGATGGCAACTATGTAGCAACAATCAATAGAAGCACAAAAACAGCACAAAGTATGAAGAGACAAAGTCTGAACGAGAGACGACCGAACGCGAGAACGTGGCGCCGTAGCAGCGTCAACGCAAAAACAAGCTTGGAACAGGCGGGCACAACTATATTTTAAAGACAGGAGAGGGAAAGCTGAAAAAAAGGACAAAAAAGGGACAAAAAATGAGTTGAGATGAGGCAAGGCACGTTGCTCATGAAGAATATTCAAAATTTGAGTTGAAAATCATAAAGATGTAACAAGATATACTTTGATGTATTAGACCTTAGTGCATGATGCAACATCTAATAGAACTCATTGGCACAGACCAAAAACAAAGAACATCATTGTTGGAGAGAGAGAAAGATTGGTAAACATATCTGTAGGCGTTGAAGGAAACAATAAAGAGAGAATAAGATGATAATAGAGAATATGAGATACAGAAGAAGCTTGTAAGCTCATACATCATTAAGAGATTTCCTTTTTTTCTCAAGAAAGCTCAAATGTGAATGAAGGTTAAGCTATTACCAATAGTCTAACGAAGGCTTCAGAACTATTTCTTCTTATTCTCTTTCTCTCTCTCTCTCTATCTTTCTCTCTCTGTGTGTGGCATTGTAATGCAACAATCATGAAGAGTTTGAATAATTGACAAGTACAAAGTTCCACAAAAGGCAACCTAAGATCAATTTGAAAGTAGCAAGTATCTACCATTGCTTTTCCATACGTTGTCACGAGTGTTTCAGAAGCTGAATCAAGTGCGAAAGCATTGCCTTAGGTTCAGCAATGTTCGTATTTGGAGCTTATTTAGATGAAAGTTACTCAATAAGCATGAATAGTTCACTGTTTTCAATACTTTCTATTCTTGTGTATGTGTGTTGTAGACCAACCAGCTGATGAATGTTTCGACAGACATGTCCAAGGTAGAAGAAACATACAACATACACACTTGACACTGTCACTGTTGCTAATGAGTGTATAGACTACATTATCATTTTTCATTTATATCTAACGTTGTCTGAAACATCTTCATGATGTGTTTTTTTCGCCAACCATATTCTTCAGTATCCAGTCCCTTTACGTCTTTTCACATAGCCTCTAGAGCTACCCAGCGATTTGTGGGCTCGAAAAGTGAAAAACAAAAGTGCAAAAAGAGTACGAAATACCCTTTGTCTCAATAGAGAGATGCCCATCTCTCTCTCTGTATCTCATATTATATCATGCTCTCAAAATATCTTTGATTTCTATGGTGTTCTCATTCTATTTTTCCTCTCTCTCTTTCTCTCTCTCTCTTTTTGTTTGAAAGCGTAAAATAGAAAGAGAATTTCAACATAGCCAATAGACATAGAGAGAGAGGGAGGGAGGGAGAGAGAGAGATAACTAGATAGATAGATACAAGTTGATCAGAAGACAGAGAGAGAGGAGAGTAAAGAGGGGAGGGGGAAGAATAGAGGGAGAGACAAATTGAAAAAAGAGAAAAAGAAATAGAAACAAAGCATATATTAAGTAACGAGAATCTATAGTTGGAAAATATCAAAAAACATCCAAAGACAATCCAACTCTCATGGCTTCACATTCAAGCATACAAAACTTTCTTTTTATTTTTTTTTTTGCTGCAAATTACTTTGAGTCTCTGTGAAGATTGAATATTCTATGGTTGGCTGGAAAGTGTTGATGGGATTTATGAAGCTTCAAACATAATGTTTTGTATTTCATATTTTTCATAAAAGAATCCAATTGATAACATACATTACTGACTTTCTTTTTGTCTTTTTTCTCTTCTTTCAACTCAATTATCATGAACTCACTGATAGAGAGAAAGATAGAGAGAGAGAGAGACAGTGTGGATGAGAGATTGAGAGTTAAGGGAGAACAGGAAAGAGAGACAAGCAAACTATTTGAGCACATGGATGACACATCATGAAAGAGTTGAAAAACAATCGGATGATTGTTGGCCAAAAAACAGCTGACACGGACATCAGATGACAACAGTGAAGTCTGATGATGTTCAATTATCTGTTTTCATTGCAAAAAAAAGTTATCGAAGAAAATCGTTCGCAAATTCAGATGGGGGCTTGTAGATGAACGCAACAGTTTGCTCAGTCTGTTGACAACGTTCATGTACGTCATCTAGATCTGCCAGTTATAGTTCATTTAATACGGTTAGAATGTATAACTGTTTACATGATGACACAACTACTATTGCGAGAAGTTCGTTATGGCCTTTCCATGTTCAAATTTGGATCAAAACAATCTTGGCAGCATCAATGAGATCAGTGCGAGTTGTGTCCATCCATTCCGCAAGGGCAGTAGACCCGCATGCACTTGCGATGGAGCAGTCCGAAGGTCCAGGAGGTTCGAGCTGGTTGCACGACCATACTTCCGTAGAGTACAATGAAACGAAAGAAAAATGTGCAGAGTAAGCTATAGGAGTAAGAAGCATTGAGATGAATGAAGGTGAATAGCGACAATTACCATTATTTCGCCTCTTATAATCATTGCTACGTTGCAGGCAATGAAAACAACGTACTTAAAATAGATGTTTCGTTGACGTAGTAGAAGTCCAAAAAATGTATGAAATCGGATATCGTACGAGTGATAGAGATGAAGGAAACAGTTTGAGGAAGTATTAGATGAAGGAAACGAGGGTGTCATGAATACAAGCATGGATATAGAACAGGATGTTCAATTGCAAATACTTGATATGAATATACGTTTCAACCTCTAGACAAGCGAGGCAAACTCATTTTCAGTCATTTTTGCTTCAAGTTGTCAACTACTTTTCCAATGTGGAGTTTCAAAACAGAGGAAATGGAAAAGTGGATGGAAAAGAAGAAGCACTTTCCGCGAGCGGAAAACATGATAGAAAAAAAAAGAAGTAAAAGCCATAGGAAGTGAAGAGATGTGGGATCCAAGTCAGGACCAATTTGGCACATGAAGCTAGGAGGTTGAGGAGTGGAAGGGGGGGGGGGTTGGTTGGAGGAGGAAAAAAGGGTATGGAAGAGGGTGCCAGATAACTGAACACACTCGCACATATACGACAACAAGAAGGAATAAAATAAAAGTAGAAAATGAATGGAGAAACAGTCAAAAAAGACTATAATACAAAGGGTAAATGAAGAGAAATATAGAGGGTTAAAGAAAAAGAGATAAAGAGAGAAAAACAAAAAAAATGGAGAGAATTGTGCAGTAGTTTTCTTCGCTTGGCTCGTTCTGTTTTTGTCTTTTGAAAGAGAGAGAGAAAGGGGATCGAAAAAAGGACGAAATGAATGTGAAACAAGGGACACAATATTTGGAAGATCTTGTAAAATACTCAAGTTATGAGTGAGAGAGAGAGAGAGAAAGAGAAAGAAAAATAAAGAAACTCATAAAGAGAATGAAAGTAAGAGAGAGAGAGAGGGGAGAGAGAGGGTAGAAGGTAGGCTTCTTCATAGAATCAACTATATCAAATAGTATCAATAACTATTATATTATGATTGTTTGAATATATTTCAAAAAGAAACCTATCTAACTGTAGGCTTTTAGCTGCAGATTATTCAATCACTTTGCTAGAATAGTCTCTCTCTCTTTCTCTACCTCTCTCTGTACCTCTCTACATCTCTCTCTATATCAATGAGGCAATATAGGAACACATGTACCAACCAACCAATCATCATATGCAAAAACGAGGAACGACGAGTATCAAAACATGAAAAACACCGATTTAGCTATCGAATGTTTCAAAAGCATTAAAGTATAACTTTTTTGTGTTTTATAAGCGGTTTTCAACATTGTTCTACCCGAAATCTCTAGTTATTCATTATGTTTCCTCGTTTCAAATATATAATTACAGTATACTACTGATTGATGAACGACAAAGGTGATTCTATACTTGAATACTACAGAAACACAGAACACAAAGATAGAGAGAGAAAGAGAGTAGAAGGAGGGTAACAGAGAGAGCGAGAGAAAGAGAGTAAGATTGAAAGAGAAAGTATGATGAGAGAATTATAGTTAATATAGAGATAACATGAGAAATAAATAGTTGAAGAAATAAAATTATGATGATGACATTCGATGGGCATAGAGAAGAGGTGATGATGTTGGAGAAGGTGGATGGAAGTTGGGAAGGGGTGAAGGGGGTAGACGTGTCAAACACTTACCATTCCTATCCTCCTGTGTCTTCCATATATAGAAAACAGGTATTTAATAAGAGATGATTGTGATTGAAGTTATACAAGATAAATGAGCACAACTAGGCCATCTTTACTACTACAGATAGATAGAGACGTTATTCAATGTCTTATTTCTTTAAGTTATTTGTTCAGAAACAGATTAAGAAAACGACAGAAGATGTTGAGAAGAGACGAGAGCGGAATGTTAATTTAGAAAATGCAGTCAGGAGAGAAGACAAAAAAAGATTGTTCAAGAACAACAACGAATCTTGAATGAGAAGAGATAATAAAATAAATGCTCATAGACATCATTGTTTCTATTTCTTTCTCTTCTTAGCTTCTCAAGACAACGACACACAGAAAGAGAGAGAGAGAGAGAAGGTAGGGAAGGAAAGGAAAGAGAAGAGAGGGAAAAAACAAAAATGAGCATAAAGAGTGTAAGTGAAAGGATGATGATGAAGTAATGCAGAGAGAGAGAGGGGAGAACTGCAGAAAACTTCTTTCTATGGAGTAGGAGAATGAGAATTCATTCTCGTCATCTTTAATTATGATAATCATCCTTCAATTGGAATGTACAAACTCTTCTCAAATACACATATTTCAGGAGGGTAAAGATAAAGACGAAGAAGAAGAAGAAGGAACAGGTCGAATTGCTAAAGTACTAGTAACAAATAAACTTGCCAAGTCAATAGAAACAGTTATAAAGTCCATGATACAGCTCAACGATCAAACTATATGCATGGTTAGCATAATAAACAAAGTAATTTTTGAAAAATATTTGATCAAAAATGTTAATTGTTAAGAGATAGATTTGAGCTTTGAGTAATCGATAGTGTTTTTCTAATTTCCCATTTTTGGATTATATATATAGTTAAATGAAAATAAAAACTCACATAAGGAGTAGCATAAACATCATGATAGAGCATGGTATCCACACATAAGGCGTTGCAAATCATGGGAACCGATAGATTGGTTGATTGTCTTTCAATTAATGATGATGTTGATGATGATGGTACGAAGTAGGAATTGTTAACTGATGATAACGTTGAATCCAGGCTAGCTGCTACACCGTTTGCTTTCGTTGGTAACAACTGCAGAAATTGAGCTGATGTTGAAGGTACTGTTGACGACGGAAATGGTGGCTGTGTATTGGTTACGATGGGCCAAAAGCCACCTGATGCACCTTGTATACCAGTACAGCTAGCGCTGGCGACGGCTGATGGGCCGGCACTATTCGAAAACGTAGCCGTTACAAATGGCAAGAATGACGTCACTTCGAAATATTATGTGAGTGTTCAGATGAACACCTTTAAATCAAAATAATATATAAATTGATTAGGGCAGTAATGATGAGGCTTCAACTATTCCAATAAAATACTTTCAACTTCAGATAGATGATTGAAGGAAGGAATATTCAGCCGAACAGATGTAACTGATGTTGCAAACGAAAGCTCTATGTATATATATATATATATGGTATATAGTAGAATAATAAAAGAAACTGTCGAGAGAACTATATGAAAGATCTTCTATTCTTCAAACACACAGCCCAGATATGGAACAGCAAGAGGCTTCTATAGATAACATGTGAGGTAGAAGAGATAGAAAATGACTTTCTACTTACCTTCTATGTAAGAGAAAGGTGAAGCAAAGGCAATTGTCAAAATTGTTTTTTTGTTAAAACAACGTCTTTTGTCTTCAATTATTACACGTGAAGAAACGTTAATTAAAAGAAAAAAAAAAGTTTTTTTTTTTTATTTTCTTCAAACGTTTGTTCTGATGTTATCAAGCTTTCAGAGAGTAGTGCTTGATAGTATTATCCAAATAAGTATGTGATGAAAAATGAAAATGATGATGGAATATCAGCTTCAATGATGAGAACACAACAGCACAGACGTAAGACAGCCAGCCAAAGAGGCTGGAATACACTGGTAAAGATCCGAAGAGACTTGTTGTTCCTTTTCGCTCTCAAAGTGCGAAGTGACAGAGACGCATGGCCAAGCACATTCAATAGTTCTATCTATGTATGACCGCACGGCGTAAGTGACACGCATAGCAGTTGTAGTTCATATGACTAGCAACTTTCGTCTTCTATCAGGAAATGAGTTATAAATCTCATTGTTTGTAAGCTGTTGAAGAAAAAAATAATAATCTGATGAAACAGCTCGTTGACTCTCCGATAGAATAACTTCCTTCTATTCGTTTCAACTTTAATGTCATCTTGTGTTCGTCTTCATATTATTTTACAGTTTTACGAATCAAGATAGCAGAAACAGGAGGCAGCACATACATACACACACATATATACAGATGAAAAACCCGTTGATTCAAGTAACTCTTGTAGAAGCAGTAGTCATTTTATTTTTCTGTCAATGACAAGTTCAATCGGCCGTCAGGTAAGGTCATTGCGAGTGAATTCCATTTTTGAGATGAGAGAGAGCGATCGAGAACAGCGTCAGAATATGTTTGAAGCGTTGATCTCTTAAGCTATTCCAAGTAGCAGTTATATTCATCTTCATCTATCTATATATTTATTTATTTGTAAATAAATATAAATATGTATATCTAGATAGATAGAATTCACAGGAAAATATGCTGCTTCTAATCAATTTTGTTTGCGGAAATAGCATCGGGTAGCAGCGACCTGAGCTCTCACACTTTTCTAATTGGTTGTGTGTGAAGAACCACCACCAAATGGTGATATGATGCAATGTACTGATAGAAAAAAGAAATCCCATCGATTCCAATACTCATGCTCATCATGATGTTTGACAGCTGATCATTTATCTATATATAAGAGAGTCTAGTCAGTAGAAAAAATGGGAAAAAAAAACTGAAACACAGAACTTGATCGTTCAACTAGTGCATTCTAAGTATGAGGGAGTGACAGTGATAGCATAATACCATTACTAGCATGATATTCAGATGAGAATAAACAAGAGTCAACGATCATCCACAAAATGAGAGAAATGGCTCGAAATGTTAACGAATGATTCATATCTTTCTAGTTTTCGCCCAATTTGTGACCTCAGATCAATGATTTTGGCTATAAATTCATGAAAATTATGAGAAAATCTAATCTTTGTCGCCTGAAGCTTGGAGAGTCTGATATGCTGGTGCATGAAACTTCCATTTTTGCAACAAAAAAAAGAAAAAAAAACTAATGAGTTTCGTTGAGAAAGGAAAGAACTGTTTGAAACAGAGAGAGAAGGAGAGAGAAAGAGAGAGAGAGTGCGCAATAGATGAGCCGAGATGTTTTCACAGATGGAACGTACGGCAATTAGTGCGT